TAAATCGATCAATCGATATGGAACATCAATGATATTTTATTATCTTAATTATAAGAAATTTTAAATATTGTGATAAGACGGATTAAAATAAATAATTGTTAGAATATTCACAATATGACACAATTACACTATCTTCTTTTACTTATCATGAAGTCCATAAGTATGTTTTCCATGACATCCGTTCTTGAATCATATGCTCACTGCCAACTGGCTAGTGCCCTGCTCCTCTGTTCCTTCACTCCCTACTCACCACCTACTGCCTAATGTATTTTAGGTTTCCTGTACTCCCCAAAATACATTTACTCTGAAGATGGCAACCGTATTGCTTGCTGAAATGTTTGAAATCTTGAACATTCTCACCCCAAAGTTCTTACATGGCAAATAGTGGGAATTGGATACTTGAACGACCCATTCTTTAAGTGCCTGAGCACTGCGGGTCCCAACTATTGTTGGCTTTGATCTATAGACATTTGGTAGGACTCCTTGGATGAGGGATCAGCCTGTATATAGTGGGACACCTTTTCTATACTTTACTTTGTACCTGCAGTTGTTGCAGATATATGAGAAATACATTAATAATTTCTGGATGTGTAAAATGTTACAAAGTTTTGCTCTCTGGCTGTCACACTATTAAAAAACAATGGCATAATATTACATCGATATTTTGGTCCTAAAATGTATCACTCATATATGGTGTGCAAATATATATGTATGGTTTTTGTAAATACACTATGGCACATATTTTGTAAATGCATTTTGAATGTACACTTTTGCATGTTGTATTACTTTGACCAATAACAATGAAAACAAATAAAAAAAATGTACACAGAAGGCCTGTATGGGACTGTTGTAAGAGATATAGATTAATTAAATATATTATCCCAGTGGGGAGAGCAGCATGAAGTGTTTTTCATAGCCCAAGGTATAAATAGGAGACTAATATTAAGACCCATTGGTAGGCTTTTGTAATTATGGTGATGAATCTGTAGTTTCCATAACAAAGTAGTCCTTAAACATAAAGTTCAGTAGTAGGGGTTGCATGTGGTCTTATTTATGGTTTTAAGGACATTTATAAGCACTTCTCATTCTGGTGCATTCGCCTCGCAATCGATGTGAGAATAAAATATTTTAACCTTTATCATCTAAGCTTTACAGCTTACATGTCATGCAATGCCATTCCATACTGCTAAACTGGTAATCCCAGAGTTAGAGTGCAGTTGACTGCCCTATAATACAGAGATTTTAATCCCCTGTTGTGTGATATGAATCTGTATCCTGAAATCACAGATGTTTCAGTGTAATTACAGTGCAGATCTACAAATATATTCACTGTACCCAAGTGTTAAATAAAAATTAAGCACAAAATTCATATCATGATGGGAGTACCATCATCCCGACCACCCGTAGGACTTCTTTTTGCAGCCTCAGTATTCTAGTGCTCAGAACTGGCATGATAGTGAAACAGCTGCCACAGTGCTAAATGGGTTGTACCTTCTCACCAGGTGTGACGCTCTACTTTGGATACAGCATACGACACAGTGAAGAGGGAATGTTCCATTGTGCAACACCAGTCCCTGTGCATGGTAAAAGGACAACTTATTCTAATGAAAAGGGATCTTCTGATATAAAATGAGATTTGAACTATTTTCATAGACAGGCAGTCTTTAAATTAATTTAAAATAATCTGTTCCTCATGAAACTTGCATGTTAAATTAGTCTCGATAGAAAACTAAATGAGTGATGCATTTAAGCAATACAAATCTCTTCAGAAGTTGATAATTATTAGAAAGGCACAGTGGGATCTTTAAGAAGGATTATTAGTTTCGTAGACTGTGAAGATATGAGAGACATGTCATCAATTTCTGTAAATGTTCAAAGTGGTTTTTCATCAAAAGATAGTCATTATGGTACCTATGATTTATACCAAGATGTTGGATTTTTCACAAGAAATTAGTGTGCTGGCTTGTGACACCAATGTACATTAAAATGGATCTGAAATAATCCCATAATATTTATGAATGATTTTGTCTGGAGCTACATAGAACATTGTGAAACTGGATGAAAAAATGCTACAAATATTTCCGGGTGGAAGTAAATAGCAGTCACACAATGAAAGTATTATTTGGACTAAACTTCTTGAATGTAACATGTTGATAAAAAATCTTATATCTGGTGTTTTCATAATATTTGATCTGATTTGTGTTTGCTATTCAGACACCAAGGTGTGATTCGAGAAAACTGTGTAGTAAGAGTACAGAGTTTCTGTTTAAAATCTTGCTTTAAAGATTAAAAGGAACTTTAAATTCAAACTATTTTTATGATTAGTAATGTTACATGTAAAATAAACATTGTGATAAACATAACATTCCATTTTATACAAATATTTAATACAAAAAGCAATGAACAAAGCCATTTTACTTTATTTAGTTAAAAAACTCCTACCCCTTTTACTGTACTGCAGTTTTGTGGCTTGTCCTTTCATCCTGGATTTACCTTCTCAAACCACTGTTTATACATGCATACATTTACATCATATTAATGAATCGGTGGTGACAGGACACACCTTCTGCAGTGTAAGATGCAGTAATAATGTGCAGGTTGTTTTAAAAATCTCTTAATTCTCTACATTATTACAATGCTGCTTCTTTCTGGAAGGTAGTTTTACATCTAAGCAGTATAAGTGAAAAGATAAGTAACAGAATATTGGTCTGCACTAACACGGTGTTCTAATTAAATCACACGTACCGAAAAATCTGCTTTAGGAATGGAATGAAATTGAAGCACAGAGAAAAGAAACTGCTAGTTCCCGACATTTATCACCTTAAAGATTTTAAAAATACAGTTATTCTAGTAAGCTGCAACAATCAAAATCTCGGTTCAATACAAATTTTTATCGTGTAAATATAAATGACCTGGGACACTGGCAGATTGCGATGTCTCAGTCTTAACCTGATGCACCCAACTACTCCAAATGAGGGATATAATCTCTAACAAATTACAAGTACAATTAACAATGAATAACTAAACCATTTTATCAAGATTAAAATTTTGTCTTCCTTCCAGCATAAGGAAAGCTGCTGGAGAGCTGTACCCGACTTCATCAAATCCTGCCTTAATAAGGTATGCCCCTATATTATGTTTGGTAAAATGTAATGTTCCATCATAGGCCTCAGCATCAGATGAGTGAGTAATCATTTTCATGTTCGTATTCCGAATGAAAGAGACCCCTGTATTCATTTGATACAAGGCTGTGTGGGTCCCAGAGCATAATGTACTGACAATGAAGATCGAGTACCCCCTACGAGAATTAGAACATGCCTCCCTTTATTATCTGAGCCATCATAGCTCACTCATTGTAATGGGTATTCAATATACATATACGGGATGTTTTACAACTGATCTCTTATACATCGAGGGGTGATTTGGGAGGTAATTTCAAGTAAAAAGTGTTCATACAACATTGGTCTTATACGTAACCATTGTAGAACTATGGATGTTTTAAGATGTGCAAACAACAAATTACTATTTGAAAACCAGCCGCACTCTCAGATGTTCACTTGTGGAAACCAGATCTGACACGGATCCTCTGGATGCTGTACCTTTTGTCTGTGGCATATCCTGTTATGTAGCCAGCGCAACATGTTAGTCGAAAAGAAACCAGAGTTTCACAAATTGAGTCAAACTACAAAGAATTGGTTGCTCCAACATGTCCAACTCAGCCGATAAGTCAATCCAGCCTGAAAATTTCTCTGATATGGACTTCCCTCATAAGGAAGGTGGTTAGCATGAAAGATACAGGACATTTTGGCTTAATCTGACATCATAGCATTGCAGCCATTTCAAGATTCTTCCTTCCGAGTTCATATCACAGATCCTGTGGGAGTGTTTTATATGTTTTACATTACAGTCTGTAATATTATCACTGTTGATGACTGAATAGTTTTGAGATGAAACATAAGAGTAAGAAAGTCCAGTGATGGAACCACCATAGCAAACTTCACCTTATGAAAGAGACACAGCTAGCATCCAAATGTGTGTTTTAACAAATAATCAAGACAGAAGACAGGTCCAACGTAACAGTTCAGTGTACTGAAACACACTATCATCAAAATCCCTAAGACCAGGGGTCGTCAACCTGGTCCCTACCGCCCACTAGTGGGCGATTCAAGCTTTCATGGTGGGCGGTGGGGTTTCTTGTCTGTTGTTACAAATTTTGTTCTTCCTCCATATATTGAATACATTGCTAACAACTTCGTGAGTTTGACTTTTTAAAATATGCTTTTGCAATTTACTTTTGAATTCCATCTCTAAACTTTGAATATAGATAATAATTCACCGGACACTTCTTGAAGTATATTCGTGGATGAGGGAGCAACGAATGAGCTCCATAGCCAAAGGCACGAGTTTAGTGCGCATAACGAGGGTGGGGCTTACCACCGGCCATCACTGTCCTCTTTCATGGTGGTGGGCAGTACGTGCAGCACCGGTGGGTGGTAAGGAAATTTTACCATCAACAAAGATACAAAAGTTGGTGGTAGGTATAAAAAGGTTGATGACCCCTGCTTTAGACTCATCTAGTTATAGGATATATCTTGTAAAACATAGCAATAAATTAATCTACTATTTATTGTTCTCTGTATGCTCCTTAAAACTGCCATAGCTCCACAGCAGTTGGAAACAGGACCAATGCAGTAACATTTTGTGTTCAAAACTGCCTCTTGAATCACCCCACCCTCCCAACCCCCTAATGTATGACATACCAGCTATGGAACATATAATATATACTCAGAAAAATATAATTTTTGTGTACAAACTGAGAGCATTTACTTTCATGTATTTATTATTTTTAAATGTAGATACTTCAAACGCATGAATACAAACAATGTTTTGTTTCAAGCTCTTTATTTACAGATGAACTGCATAAAAACTGTCAAACATAAGTTTTCTGGAAGACAAGGTGACAAGTTATGACAACCAAAGACCAGTACGTTAAATGTGCAAACCTTTACCCAGTTATAAGTAAATGAGCTCAACGGTGAGGGATGTTTGTGGCGCACTTGAAAAACTGAAAGAAATCTCTCACATCAGTTATAATGATTCCAGGAAGTGTGTTATGTTCAAGTAATATTGTTCTTAAAATTAAATTTCACTTTGATTTTCCCTGGATATATCCTAACAAAAATCTGGGCATGTAAGAACTACCACAATCTCTGCCTCAGCATGAGTTCCTTTACATAAAATTGTAACTATTATGCACCAAATGGAATGTTTGCAAAATAATCTTTTGGTTGGTAGTAATTGTATAAAAAAACAGTTCATGTGATGGTTACATTTGGTAAGACATCTAGGTGGCAAAGACATTGTAGAAATATGTCATCTATAACATACTCTTAACAATATTTCTCTTATTTAAACAACAACAAAGATGGAAATAAATGATCAATATAAAAATGTTGGCATTGTTTTATATCGAGTGTAAAGTATTACATTCCGTCACATACAGAGTGACCACATCATTTCTCAAAAGTCACTGTGCAAAAGCTTTCTAGTAATGTTGTTGAAATTAACAGCCAAAAAATTCTGAACACATTTTTATTCATCACTGTCTGCAGTTAAAGATTCTTGGTGTGATACATTTCACGGAATGGATCTGAATTGTTACAGTGTCTTTATAATGCCATCGTAGAAAGGCCCAACACATAAATTTCATGTTAAAATGTGTCATTAAGGAATTCTTTTAAGTAAGACTTGAGGTTCTCACAGCGGTGAGTATGAAGATATCCGTCTTCTGGGTTATTGCGCTGTGTAGTCTGGTCGATGTTAACCAATGTTTCAGAGGTCATACTGCCTCCGTCATCAGGGCCCTGATCGACAGACTACACAGCGCAATAACCCAGAAGACGGATATCTTTGAATTCTTTTAAGTTGGGGAAATCCCATTAAAACATTTTTAATCAACGAGATTCTTCTCCAATTGAAATCTGGGATATATGGGTAGACTATAACTTGATCACATTTAGTGTATTAAACTTCAGTTCTATTCAACACTTGAGGCAACTGACATTATCACATTCACTGTCAGCAATTCATTTCAGGCTTTACTTAAAATATCAGGAATTAGAGCACAAATGTATAAGTGTGTGGCATGCTAAATCAGGGGTTTAAGTTGCAGGCAGTATTAAAGCCTATCCAAGAAATGAAAACTTCCATTTTGGCAGAGCACGTCTTAACACGGCTAATAAACCAAAATGTACAAGAAATAAGCATCTCGATTTTTATGCCTATATTTTAATACATAGTAAAGTAAATCAAAATCTCCAGGTTAATGAAGCATATCAGAGGACACAAGACAATGAAGACAAAATTATGTTCATGACGAATATCAATGCTCAAAACTTTAAATCCAGTGGTATGTAACTGTACGTGCCATCTGCTTTTAGGGTCAATAACTGCATTTGTCCCACAGTACGTAATTTAGGTTTCATTTGGTTATCAAAGTAAACAGCAATTGTTTCTTACACAGGACCAACTTGTCTTTGTAATGGAGACATGTTGTGGTATAGACTAAATTTATTAATAATATTCATACAGGATTCAGGATCAAAGGTTAAAAAAAATTACCATAATAATGTTAACTGAAATTTTCTTAACTCATTGACTGTAGTATGTCAAATTTTAATTTCCACTATAGAAAACAGCAGATTACTATACTGTAAAGAAATGCGAACATTTATACTTTTTTTTTTTTACATAAATGCTTCCATTAAGATGCCTGATGTAGAAACGTTCACCACGAAAGCTGCATGGTGTGCAGTGCAAAGGCCATTCTTCAGGTACGCTGTGTATCCCTCTATAGAAATTTCAGTCTCAGTATTTGTTGATGCCAAATAGCCTCACCCGATGAAACTGTGGTAGCTTCGGTAGAACTACTAACACCATGGAAACAAAATTAACTATGAAGTGGCCTGTAGCATATCTTGTGTAGAAGCTCGTCAGAAGGAAACTGAAAAGAAAGATTCACTTGCACTCACAAGTTATAAAATATAAATACCCACCATGTTCAAGAGTCCAGGGTGTGATGCTGCCCCCCCAAGTGCCTACATGGCATAAACTGGGAGAGGTAATGATATACTTTTCATCACTAATAGTTACCCATGGTTACAAACATTATTTAATATAACACTATCATGCCTCCAGCATAAAATACATTTCCACTTTTCATTCCTCCTGAAATTAAAACAGTTACTTACAGTATAATAGGAACGACTGTTAAAAATTTCCGAGTTGCTGTAAACTGTTGTCCATAATCTATCTGTTCCCAGTGAGTGAGTATTCTGCAGTCCCCTTGGTCTTGAGGAATCCAGGGTGCTCCTTTCAAGACATGTAGGAACACAAAGTGGCACTGCAAGCCAAACATGCAAATTGTTCTATTACATTGTGTGTACTGCATAAAATTACAAGCAGAGAGCATTAATATGGTGGCTTTTTATTAGGTAATTAAACTGAAATCATGAGTGTCTGGTGCTAATACATACAAGAAACAAGAACATATAAAATTTTAACAATACCTACTGCATTATGTATGAGGTTTGTCAGAGTCCACGCAAGTGGAACACTTAGTATTGGAACACTGAGTAAAATGAGATGAAGTGTCAATACTCCGAGTATGTAGCTTATCCACAACCCACGGCTCTGGAGCCAGGTTGTGTTTGGGTTGGATTCACCATGCCCACCGACCAACATTGCTTAAAATAAAATCAAAGGTCAACACTGGCACGTCATTTAATTATACCTGAAATTTGCATTTCTTTGCAATGATATGTACAGCCGAAACTTCAAGACCTACCCTCACACACTCAGTAAGTCGATATACTACTATGTAGTGAATGTATTATACTTTTATAGGAAATGGCTGTAAAATATATATATTTTAAATTACACAAAGTAAGCCCATAACAAGGTATCAAATATAAACATTGATGACATCAGCTGACTCTTCCTGCCCTTGAGCACCATCCAACACTGGCCGTGAATACGAAATACGGATGTTATTCTATGCTGATGACTTCGTGGGTATTTGTAGGCGTTTAGCTCATTTGTGTTTGTACTACTGAAAGGTGTCTAGTGAGGTATTTCATTGGGAAGTAAAATGGCCGGTCAGAAGTGTGCTGATTTGCCTGGCATTGTAAGATATTTTGATATTCTATCCTTTTTTGTTTTGCTATATGCTGTGTAGCCTAAAAAGTGATCTAATGTAAGTGCATGAGTGATTCTGTCATATATAAATGAGGTGGTATGCTTGTATTTAAATGTATACAGTCATAATGTGGGTGGGGTTGAACTATCTTCGTGGGTTATATAGATTTCTTGCTATTCTTCGATGCTCAGTATAATAGACATGGTCCATATATTTGATATGTTGAACGTGTAAGAATAAGCTTGAGAGTTTAACATGGTTTGCATTTTGAGTAATAATTCTACTACATTTGCATCAGTATGCTGATGAACTGATTTCGTTTCATTCGTTGTCTCGCGCTCCAGTTCATAAATTTAATTTTTATAGCAGCAGTTGATGCATTATTCTTATTTGATTTGTCACCGGCATAATAGTAATTTAA